TTCTTCACTCAATTTACTACTAGCGATTGCTTTTCGAGTATCTGATTGCGGGTCGCCCCTTGATCTTCTTGCGCTCGATATCCTATCCTGCCACATTTTTGGTGACCTAACCAGGGGGCCTCGACGGTCTATCAGAGAGCAGTTGAGCGATATCTGCTAGTAGCAGCGAAAGAGAGTCGCTGTTGAAGAAGGTCGAAAACCATTCAGTATCAGTTCAGAATCAGACATTCAGGGGCGAAGGTCTCTCAGAGAAGAGACACCAAGGAGGGGATAGTGCTGAGAGAGAAGCACGGTGAGCACCCCTGACTAATCCCGAAGTAGTATCAGCAGTGAAGCTTTGGGCATCCAAAGGGCCTAGCGATAGCCGTGCGGGAAAGTCAGATCGAGGAGAAAGGAAGACCAGAAAAAGAGGGAGGAGAGGAGAGAAGAGAAGGGAGAGAAAAATGGCGGGAGAAAGTGCAGAAAGCGCAATAGCAAGCGAAACTTATAGGCAGACGACAGTCTATCAAGGAAGACTTGAGCCTACCGACGCCAATGCACCAAAGTTTGATGGGCGAAATATTACCGAATTTCTGGAGGAATATTGCTTTGAGTGTGATCGAGTATCGTGGTCAGAAGATATTCGAAAGAAGCAGCTACCGTACTTCTGTGAGCAGCGATACAAAACCTTTATCCGAAAGCTTCCTGAGTACTACGACAAGGCGGTAACTTGGGCTGATTTTCAAACGGAGCTTAAGAGCCTATACGCAGGGCAGGACGAGAATCGCAAGAGAGGCACCCGAGTGTTTATCGAGAACTATGTTCGAGAGGTCCACCAAAGGCAGCCATCCGTGAAGCTATCGGAGTATTATCAGAACTTTGTGACCTACTTTATGACAGCCGAACGTCGGCAGCAAGTTACAAAACAAGAGAAGGGCTATCTGTTCTTCAGGGGTCTATCGCGAGAGGATATGGAAAAGGTGATGCACCTTATGCCAAAGGAGGATCGTCCACGGCTCGATGATCTATCGAGCTTCAAGCTGGCTAAAATCTACGAGTTCGTCCGAAATGAACATGAGCAGGAAGAGGAGCTAAACGCACTAATTACTGATTTCGCGTCGATGAGTAAGATACGCGCCCAAAGGGACGCTGATGAAGTCCAGGAGAAGATTCGAGTAGAAGACTTTGTTGCGAGCTATCAACCGAAGACTACTCCAGGGGTAATCCCGATCCAGCAGCTTCAGCAACAGTCGCAGCCCTCACGGGCTATAGAAGAGCCAGCCGCACCTAGGGTTGACGATGCTGTCGCGCAGCTGATATCGCAGTTCCAAGGCATGACACTAAGTGTGGAGCAGTTTGACTACCTCCGACAGAGCACCCCGGCAATACGAAAGCTATTCGAGAAGCCGCAGAACCATGTAGAAGCTTATCGGAAGCTGGTTATCGGAGTGAAGAAAGCAGATCCGCCTGTACTCGAAAGGAATGATGGCAGCTTCCAATCGATCTACCCTCCGATCATGAAATCGCAAGCCAATCAAGTAGCAGTAGGCAGCGGGAACGCGTCGAAGGCCTGTCGAGGCTGTGGCGGGGAGCATATGATTATGAATTGCCCTCATTTAGGGCTAATGAAGAAGAATAGCTGGTTCCACACGCGTTCTGAAGAGCGTTCAGGCGGCTGGAAAGAGATCGTGTATTATTTTGGACCTTGGCCGACAGACATCTGGGGTATCTTCCCAGGAGGGGGTCGAGGCCCTCGGCCATATGGCTCTGAAGTCCTTGAGTGGGTGATTAGATCGATAAAAGAGAGATTCAAGGTTACCGATGAGCAGCTGAAAAAGCCAATGCAAGCAGTTCTGCCTAGCTGGTTTGATAGCATGGGACAGCCGATTGCAAAGCAGAACCCTGCATCTAGCGGCGAAAGCCATACGATTGAGGCTAGCGAGAGTGCCGAGATACTTGCGAGGCAGACGCTTGCACTCCGATCAGCTGCGAAGTTCCTCGAGAGCGTATCAGAGACTGGGGAAGTGCATACCGCGGACGTGAATGTTGCAGGCCAAAGAGGGAGACCACCAAAGAAAGCAGCAGAGCAGCACCGAAAGGATTATCGCCCAGGAAGCCGAAAGCCTCCTATACCAACTATGAAAAGTAGTCAGTCATCGCGCGCTAGAGCCCTATCAGAAGGCCTAGAAGATGAGCCAGAGCTATTGCGATACCACGCTGTGGTCGACATGCAAGACGCGGAGGAGAGTCAAAGAGAGGCGGACACTAGACAAGAGACTATCGAGCTAGAGACCTTTCGAACTTCTACTCCAGACCCTGAAGTAATCCCTACGCCAGTAGTGAGAACGAATCGCAGGAGTACTGGAGCTCAATCTGTATCTCCTACAGATGCCGATCTGGCCGCGATGATCACACGAAACTCCCGAACTGCAGTCGCCCAAGCCATGCTGAACCAAGAGGTGAGAGGCATTCGTCAAGCAGATCTTCTATCGATGCCTGAGATGGCTGCAACGATCTCGAAGGCACTCGAGAAGAAGCAGCCAAAGGAGGTGCGGTTTGTGGACAGCGATCAGCAATCAGGGGAAGCAATGGCTGTTAGCGGCGAGTCTATACAAGACGTAGATGTTCAAGAAGCGCTTCGAAATATGTATGAATGGGGTGCCGCAGACTATTCGGGTAAGACCTTCGTAATTGAAAATAAGCCGGATACAGTCGACGTTCTTACGAAGGATTTATTGCAGCGTCTCTGCCCCAGTATAAGCGAGAGACGTCTGGCGCGTGGTACTCGAGGGGGGGAGGCTAATGAGCTTGACGATTTCCAAGATTACAGCTTAACAGCAGAGGATGATGGGTATGCTGAGGAACAGTCGGCAGTGCCTACCGAAGTAAGAATGAAAGGGGAGGCGCAGCACCGGCGATACTCAGTCAAGGGCCAGCTGCCAACGTGTTGGATCACCCTACAGGGAGGGATGGGCCGAGCACTAATCGACACTGGTTCGCAATTGAATGTGATGCGATTATCAACAGCAAGAGCACTAAATGTGTATATTACGATGATGGATCAGTCAATGCTACCGACGGAGCTTCAGCAGGGTATGGTTACCGCGAATGGAGGAATGGACCCCTTCGTCGGCACAGCATATAGCGTGCCAGTTGCAATTGGGGGAGTTGTAGTGCCAACACACTTTCGGATAACAAGGAACCTTCAAAGAGCCATTCTGCTAGGGACGCCGTGGTGCGCAGCGGCGCGTCTTCGAATCGAATTCGACACCTTTGGGAGAACGCTCTGCTTTATTAAGTCGACAGACGGCCGCCGCGAAATCTCATTTGTGGGATGTGACCCTGCCCCAACAGCCAACGCGCTGCCGCTAGAAGATCAGGGAAAAGTCTAGCTGACGTGTCTGCTGGGGAGGCATGTTCAGTGCAGTCTTTTGGCCCAGGAACAATACCCGAAGAGGTGTCGGTGGAACAGCTTTTTGTGGGTGAATACCGAGACCTTTTCGGGCCGGAGATTGATAGAAGAGCGGGGAGGACTGAAATTTCAGATATGACGGTAGAGGAGCAGGAGTCGTTCGAGGAGTTAGCTAGACAGCAGTTTCGTGTGCGGCGATTAAATTCTGGGGAGGTTAACACTCTTTATAAGAAGGTAGGGGAAAAGGTTAGACCTATCGACACGCCAAGAAAGGATCAGCCGATGGATTTAGGACGGGAGGACTGGAAGGATAGAGCGATTGCACGTCAGGCAGCGCGGATCGCGCTGCGAGGCCCAGATCTTGGGCCTTTCGATCATGTATTTGGCGCAAGAACAGCAAGCTTTCCGAGAGGAACTCGCCTGACGCCAATAAGACTGAAAGAGATGCAATTAGGGGAAGAGTTATGGCCGAACGAGATTCGGCTCTTACAGGAATTGATGTTTCAGCGAGAAGATGCGCTTGCTTGGGACTTCGCAGACATGTCGACGATCCATGAAGATGTCCAGCCACCGTACAAGATTCGGACGATACCTCATAAAGCCTGGCAAGTAAGAGGCTTTCAGTGCCCAAAGAAGCTAGAGCCTATCATTATCGAGATGATACAAACGAGGCTTAATCGGCGCACTTTAGAGAGATGCGACGGACAGTACCGGAACCCATACTTCTTAGTCCCGAAGGTTAAGCGGCCTACAAGAGCGTCAGACTTCCGATTAATTAATAATGCTGTCAAAATCAACGCTGTGACAGAGCGTGACGCGTATATCCCACCCTCAGCCGACGAGTTTTCAGAACGCTTTGCAGGGCGGCAGATCTACTCTTACTTCGACTTGTTTTCGGGGTACGACCAGATTCCGCTGCACACCTCAAGTAGGGATATCACAGCATTCCAGACGCCTATCGGGCTCGTGCGGCAGTGTACTTTGCCGCAAGGTGCGACAAACTCAGTAGCAGTCTTCATTCGGACAATAATGAAGATACTCGGCGATCACTTTCCAGAGGCAGCTCCATTTCTTGACGATATTGCAGTCGCGGGACCACAATCAGACTACGATCAACAAGAAGCTCTAGATGGAGTACGGCGATACGTCCTCGAGCATGCAGTAAAAGTGGACAAGGTCCTTCAGGATCTCTCTCGGGCAGAAGCTACAGTATCAGCAAAGAAATCATACTGGGGTGTAAGCAGAATGGCTGTTGTTGGCTACGAAGTAGACCAGTATGGCCGGTATCCATCGAAAGATAAAGCACTGCGGATTATTATGTGGCCCGAATGCCGTTCGGTTAAGGAGGTCCGACAGTTTGTCGGGATCGCGGTCTACTATCGTCAGTGGATCTTCTGCTTCTCATTAAAAGCGGAGCCTCTCTTTCGGTTGCTCCGAAAAGATGCCGAGTGGATTTGGGGAGAAGCACAACGACAGGCTATGGCAGTGATCAAGACAGCGATCGCCAACCCACCTGCCTTAGTCGCAGTCGACTATCGCTCGGGACTACCACTAATTGTCGGCGTGGACGCCTCTCGTATAGGGGGAGGGGCCATCCTAGAGCAGGTTGGCGCAGATGGATTTCGGCATACAATCCGATTTGACAGTACGCTATGGTCCGAAGCAGAATCAAAACAGCATTCAACAAAGTTAGAATGTAAGGCTTTAGTTTGGGCATTGAAGGCCTTTCAGACGTACCTATACGGACACCACTTTATCGTGGAGACAGACGCGAAGGTGCTAATAGCGCAGCTAAATCGGTCATCAGCAGACCTGCCAGGATCAGTTATGAATCGGTGGCTAGGGACGATCTTACAGTACGATTGCGAAATCGTGCATGTGCCAGGCAAGAAGAATGTAATCCCCGACGCTCTATCGAGATACCCGCAACCAGAAGGTTGGGCTGCGCCTGAGAAAGACGAGGAGGACTTAGAGCCCTTTGTCGATAGTGTCCTAGACAAGCATGAAGAAGCGGATCTTGTAGCGGCGATTGAAGGTTGTCAGCCCCGGATCTTAATCGACGAGTATAGCAATGAGTGGGAGGAGATTGCGATATACTTACGGACACTACGAAGGCCGAGTAGCCTGCGAGGAGAATCGCTTCGGCGATGGACGAAAGCTGCAGCGAAATACTTCGTACGAGAGCGGTACTTATTCCGAAAAGCAACCAAGACAAAGCCTGCTCGGAGGGTGCTAGACGGAGTCGACCTGCAAGCGGCTCTAATCCAAGAAGTCCATGAGCAGCTAGGTCATAAGGGTATTCAGACGACCTTCGGTGCGATTAGTCAGCGATACTGGTGGGAAGGGATGTATCGCCAGGTTGCAAAGCAGCTAGGGCCCTGCCTCGCTTGCCAGAAGATGCGCGGGGTAAGACAGGAGGCTGAGCTTAATTCGACGTACTCGCGGATACTCTGGTCATGGTGGACTATCGACATTACCCACATGCCAAAAGTGCAAGGTCGGACTTACCTGATTATCGCGCGCGAGTATCTCTCGGGATGGCCAGAAGCAAGGGCGCTAACTACCGCGACGTCCGAAGCAGTAGCGCGATTCGTGTTCGAAGAAATCTGCTGTCGATGGGGAGTCCCTGAGAAGATATCGGTTGACGGAGGTACTGAAAATAAGTCAGTCGTCGAATTGCTAGCGAGGCAGTTTGGGATTCACCGTATTCAGGCATCGGCCTATAACTCACGAGCTCAAGGACTGATCGAGAGAGGACATCAAGGCTTTATCCATGCGCTAGCAAAGCTACCTGGATCGTGGATCAGTAATCTAGCAGCAGTAACATGGGCTGAGAGAGTCTCGCTTCGAAGACCTCTTGGCTACTCACCTGCTCAACTCGTTCTCGGACAAAATCCAGTATTACCCATCGAGCTTGTAGCGCCTACATGGCAGAGTCTACCTTGGTCAGAGGTCCGATCGCAGGCGGACCTGATTGCAGTTCGGGCGGCGCAGCTCCAGTTTCGAAGAGAAATGTTAGACGAAGCAGTGCACCGCACGAGAAGGCTTCGAAGCGAGGCAGTGGAGCGCAAGAATGAGAAGAAGAGCCCTACGCAAAGCTTTCGGGAAGGGGACTTAGTATTAGTCTGGGACGCGATTAAGCAGATCGACATGAGCTCAAGCCGAAAGCTTGACGATAGGTGGTTAGGACCTTACCGAGTGCGAGATGCCCGACCTGACAAGGGATACTATCGATTAGAAGACTTGAATGGCGTTCCATTCCCAAGTACTACGAGAGCCGATCGGATGAAGGCATTCCAAAAGATGCCAAGTACGACCGCTGATAATATTCTAAAAGGGAGACTAAAAATGTATCCCATTAGCGATAGTCTAATAATGGTTAGACCTGTAAGTCGAGAGACTATTAGGGAAGACTAGAAGGCATCCGCTAGAAACCTATAAGTAAGCAAAGAACAAAGGGTAGGGAGGAGTAACGGAGAGAGACTGGAGGGGGATGAGCATAAATTGGGAAAGGATTTCTTATTCGCATCACTAGCTATGCTGCCTACAGCTAGAAGACTATCGGGAGGCCAAAAGCCCCCAGCAAGGTTGCCGAGGGACGATCAGGACGGACAGAAAAAGGTGTCGACTAGGCAGGAGGAGAGGCAGGGCCGGATGGAGGGCCGGAGCCACGACCAGCACCACGACCTCGAGGACCTAGCGGAGAGCCACGCGCAGGGGGCGAACCAATCGACGACCTGCGATCCGGAGGGGGCGAGCCGATGGACATACGGGACGCTCCACTAAGCGCGCGCTCTCGACGACCTGGCGATGGGAAGTTCGGGTGGTTCGGACGACTCGTCGACTGAGTAGCGAGGACTTCCTGGAGCGATGGGGACGCGGCGCCCGCAGGGACTAATGGCCTTGCTAAAAGAAAGAAAAGACAAGAGGTTAGCAGGGCTATAAGGCGGATACTGAGAGAGGATCAGGCTTACAATAAAAAGAGCACTTAGTCGTGCCACCATTTAGAACACACTCATTGCAGGCACCCCAGTTCAACAGCATGCCCTGATAGTAGGACTGGGAGCAGTTGGCGAACTGGATATTAGCAGTCGGCTTCTTACAGTGGTTGCAGCGCGAGTCGCCAGCATAGGATCGGTTACTGGCGGCGGCCTGCTGAATGACTATTAGGATGATTAGCAGTTGGAGTTGACAATAGGGGCAAGGGCTTGTACGAACCGGCTTCGACGTTAGAGTCATAATAGCCACGCTGAGTGCCCATGCCAAAGAATTGATGGACGCTCGGAGTGGTGCCCTTGAACCGCAGCGAAGAGGCAGCAAGGTACGCCTCGTCGTCGTCACGGTGGACAGCAAGAAGCCTTTGGTGTTCGCCAAGGGGGATACCCTGCTGCTGGAGCTGCCAAATAAAGTGCGCGAGTTCGCGGACGAAAGCAGTGTCAAGAGGGCGCGACTTGTTCGCCTCGACTGCGATAATTAGCCAGCTAGACAGGAGAAAGGGGTAGAAAGGGACCTTGAAACACTTACGCCACTCAAGAATGTACTGTTTCGCGGACTTAATGCTGTAGAGGTACAGCGCTGAGTCCTTATCGCCTCCAGCAGCACGAAAGTCGTTCGGTTTCTTGCCGCCTCCGCCAGCACCACCAGACGCAATAGCAGACGCGATGCCACCGGTAGTAGCCATAGTCGACAGCGGGAGCTCAGAGCAGAGCAGGAGAGAGCCACAGAGAGGTTATCGGAGCAAGTTGTAAATTGAGAAGAAGAGTAAGGGACGAGGAGCGAGAGGCCTGCGAGGGATAGACTGTTTATATGGACGATAGGCGGTAGAGTTGCGGCAGCATAGACGCTTCTAGGAGCGCGTCGGCGAGCTCTAATTGGCTAGGCTGCAGCGTTTGACAAACGGGCGAAGTAGAGGTGAAAGCAAACTTCACGTGATAAGCAGCAACAGTGATCCAACATCGTGCGACTATTAGAGCAAGATGCTAAGTTCGAATTAGCGCTATAGTAGAAGAGTATAAAAGAGAACAGCGATAGGTTTTTAGAGCTTGACGGGGCCAAGCTCGAAGGGTAGGGAGGAAGATGTGGTGTAGTAGCACGTGACTAGGCGAGTAGTTTATATACGCATTTCTGTTCGGAGTAGATAGACACCTTCTTCACTCAATTTACTACTAGCGATTGCTTTTCGAGTATCTGATTGCGGGTCGCCCCTTGATCTTCTTGCGCTCGATATCCTATCCTGCCACA